CGAGTAAACTACGTATTTTCAGGCTCGTATCCAAATCCTAGGATCATCAAGCTTGGCAAGTCCAAACAAGCCATCCCAAACGAGTCGAGTCGAATCGTTCCTTTTCTACTTTTGTAAATTAATTAACAAAATAAGCCCAAAAAGAGCAATTTTTTGAAAAAATTAATAATGGAAGTTCAAAATTTAGAAAAAAAGAGTAGGACCTCAAGCCCAAACAAATCGTCTCGTGGGCCTCAACTAGCTCATGAATAAAAATGTGATAGCTATCTTTTCATGATCCATCAAAAAAGAAAAAAAAAATATATGTAATTGATGTTGTCTACATCATAAATAGAGTGACCAACAGCTTTTTAGGCCAGCTAAGTTCTCTTATCCATTGGTCCAATGCACATGGAGGAAAAAGTCAAAATATAGTTTTGTTCGTCGCCTTGATGAATTTCCTTCCTTCCCTACTATCGTCCCATACAGAAAGAAAGAGCGCATATGTTACTTTTGTACAGTTTACTAATATGTAATCAAGTAAGTTTTGGAATATTATTCATTTTATGTAAGTTTTATCAGATTTTGATAAAAGTTAATGAAACATGTGGTTGAATAGTCAGTAAAAAATGTGGGTTACATTAAACAAGGTGTTTAAATTGAAATTTGACATGTTGAAAAACTAATAAAATTTTAGCCAAATTTTATTAAACAAGCGCATAGTTCACAATCATATTTACAAAGTATTTGTCTATTAGAAAAGTAACATATATTTTGCACACTTATCCTAACTTCTAAACTTGACTAATTGAATGGATATCTACGTAATTTAGTTTAATTATGTTATTGTAGAAAAATCCCTCACTTTTAGGCTATTGGTGTCAATAAAGATAATTTGGAACTAATTGAAGTTAATTCAAAGCAATTGAAGATCAACCAATTGTATTTGATCAATATGAAGCATTAATAGTGCAATTGTAGGAGATCTATAAGTTTTTGGAGATAAATCCAACATTTGGAAAGTTTGGGGACTAAATTACAAACTTTTGGAACTTGCATCAAATAGATTTCGAACTATTCTAGAGGACGAGGATCAAAGTATAAAGATGAATGATATGTGATTCAAATAAGAAAGGACTTGAGAAGAACTAAGAGGAAGATTCAGAGACCAACATGAAATAAACGTGAACATTGAAGCTCGGGATCACAAGCATTGATGGATGCGATCTCAAGCTTATCCAGTTCAATTCATGCACGTTTTATTCCATAACCATGCAATCGCACAACACTTTCGGACAGGGGTTTTATTTAACCTCTTCTTAGAAAGTAATTAAGACACGAGTTTTGAAGGCTATAAATACATACTTTCACCCATCATTCAAGAGAGGATCTTGTGCATAGAAAAACATATATTCAATAGAGAAAAAGGGAGGCTCTTGCGTGGAAAATATAATTTTTACGAAGAGGAGAGCAAAAAGGAGAGCCTCTTGGATAGAAAATATGTATTTCTTGTAAGTTTTGAAGAAGCTTTTGATACAATACACCTATTCCATATGTACTTTCATATATTTTCACTTTGGTTGAAGAAGAAGAAATTCAATGAGATTGATCAAGAACTATTAAAGGGATTCAAAATTGTTTTCCATCTTTCTTTCCAACCTTTAAATTTGGATGATGTTGCATCAATCTAATTCATGTTATTGTGATCATATGATGCTCTACTAATTGTATAGGTGTTAAAATAATGTCGAACCCTATTTTTGGATTTTTAGACATTAAATTCTAGATTTTGACATTAAATATTTGTTAGGTTTGAATGATTATTAGAATCTTAATGATTTTCAATTACTTGGTCATTAACTGAATTGCTTGGTGATTTCTATTATCATTCGAAAGAAGAAATATGAATTTTTCACATATTAACAATCATTGTAAAGTGTTATGGACATTTAAAACTAATTGTCTATGCTTAGATAATTTCATTGAATATTCGTGTGATTTCATACATCTTCATATGAGAGCACTCAAGATTGGAAATTTTTGAATCATATGTGATGATATGTTTAATTCTATTCGAAAAAAATTATTAAATAAAATAGGAACATTGATTTTCAGGTCCAAATAAGTGTTTTCAAAGAATTAAATTGGTATTAAGATGGAATACTATAGGGGGAGTCGAGGTCCCAGTGCTAGCAAGACACTTTCAAATTAGTTAAATTAGTTATAGGTTTGGTTGTTATTATAAATTATGCATACATAAAATTTTGTTATTCGATTAGAGTGAGAGATAATTGGAACCAATTGAATATTTAGTGAGTGATTGATACTTGGACTCATGTTCATTATGTTTGACACACATTCTTTTAAAATACATTCAAAACTCATCTGCAACCACACATTTTTCAATAAAATAATATTTTTTATTACATCAGTAACTTTTTTTTTTTTTACTTTTTAACCACATATTTCTAATCATGTCACTAATTAAAATACATTATTTCATTAATGATATTCATCAAACGCACACTTCTTCTTATTTACGATATTGTCCACTTACAGAATTTCACTGCAATAAGTTTGGCGCCATTGTTAGGGATCGTAGTTACTTAATTAGTTTTTCAATTAATTCTAACTTTAATTTTTAATCCAATCGATAAAGAATTAACTTTTACCCTCGTGTGATTGTAGTGGTAATTTATTTTCATCTCTCTTTTTAGGTATGATAGATGAATATATTGAGGAAAGTTTAATTAGTTACATGCATTGTGGATAGAATCACACTTAGATGTTTTTTTTTAAAAAAGGTGGTGGGTTGAGTAGGTGGGGAATGAGACTCATAGCATATTTGTGAGAGATTAAAATTCAATTAAAATTGAAAATATAGTCGTTATTAAATCTCACTCGTCTAATAAAAGTCAACAATAACGACTAGTTTTTCAATTTTAATTCGATTTTAATCTCAACCAAATACGCTCTCAAACTAGAGACCAAAGTCAATTAACAAAAGTGTCGTATAGAGAATAAACAACAAAATTTCACCATTTATTCAATTATAAATAAATGACAATGTGTACGATTATCGAACTATAAGCAACAATACCTCGGGTTGTAAACCACAGATATCTACGAATGGACTTTTAAAACTTCATTGAAGAGAATTATAGCAAATAATTGAAAATCAACATACATTTTATAATACTAGAACTCAATTAAAATATATACTAATTTGTTGCGATAACTGAAACAAACAGAGTTTAATTTTCTCGAAATGGAAAGATAATAAGAAAAGAAAAGGAAAACTTGCCACAAAACCAGTGATCACAATTGGGATGGTGAAGTTGTCAAAATAGATCTGACAGACATAATCAACTCCATTTTTTGGGCTCGTTTTTCCTTTTTAAGCAATTAGCTGAACACTATAAATGTACGATTATTCATAAGCACATCGACTGATTCTATAAATTTCCCAATCTACATAATGGATTCTATATACAAACTTTATAATCAGGGGTGGCAATTCGAAAATGTACCCTCCAACCAAGTAATGCCCAACACCATACTACAAATAGATGCATTGCTACAAGCCAAGGGGAGTCTCAAGTCCAGATCCACATGAACTTCTGGATCAAGCATCTTGTGCTTGTAGATTATCCAGAGCATCCCGTTCTTCTAGATTAGCCCAAGCATCCCGTTGTTGTAGATCAATCAAAGCATTCCGTTGTTGGAGATCAGCTAGACGCCTTTCAAGACCTCTAAGCTCCCACCGCTGCCACATATTGTAGACAAAGAGACTGGCGAGTAATAAGTTAGCCTCAACTTCAAAGATTTTTATTATCCCGAATGCTCCTATATACAGAAGCATTTTTCAGGTTAGAATTGTAGTGAAACCGTGTAAGCTCATGGATGTTTATAGATACGTAAAGGACAAAATCAGGAACCAATTTGAACAAGCGTACACTTAAAAGACAAAACAATGCATAAACACTCTGGCAGACAGTCGTATATAGCATTTGATTTGTCCAATACTTGTCAATACAGCAATAGAAATAATGACCAAATGAGATATTAGCATGCTGCTTGCCTTCTTAGTATTTGATTGTAGTTATTTATTGAATTTACAATTTAATTTGCACCAAGTATCTATTTCATACCAAAATGCAGTGCCGGGAGCCTGAAAGATCCCTTTCGTGTGTACTTGTGTAATGATGTTGCTGCTTGTATTACATGCCAAAAGGTCGAGATAAATGTTTGGATACAATTTAACACAAAAGTTGAAAGTAAAGAAACAACATACCAATCGAGATAAACTGAAATTCCTTCATCCCATAGAAAAGAATTAGCAGCAACTGCAAAAATATGTAATGATTTTACAGAGAAATCGAGAAGCTAAAGTGCAAAATAAAACTAAAATTCACATATAGCATGTTGAATAATCTTTGACGATATTGGGTTTAGTATTTTATCTAAAGAAGTAGAAAATCTATTCATAAACAAGAAACATATCCAGGTTTAAAATTACAAGAAAGAAATTATAATAACAAATAACAATGCAGTTGAGTAAATATACAATTACCCCAACGAAGCGCATTACACATAGGACACATGTCAAAGCCTCCAGATCCATCAAAAATCTGAACGCTTTCTTGATAAAGAACGGCAACATTAGTACTTTCTGCCAAATATGAAGTGGGACATGTCAACATGAAATAAGTCTGAGGTGAAAAAGCAGCAGAAATATACGGCACAAGGAATCAGACAGAAAATCCAGCGTAAACATTTCAAATCATTGTGCAAAATACCGACTACAATCTCATTATTCTATTTCTTTCTTGTTCTGGTATTATGTTGAGGAATAAATGACATGCATCCTAGTAGAGGATGACAAGGCGGGACACAATGACAGTTTAAAATATATGGTAACGTATCAGTAATGACAATGCAGCAATATCAATGGCATACCTTTTTTTATAATTCTAATGAAAAATCTACGACCATCCCATTTCAAGAGTGATTCAAGCAGATGCCACCTCTGCTTTTTTATTTTCTTGACTAAATGAAGTATAAAACAGGGAGAAACATACGACTCCCACTCCCTCCAGAAATAATAAGTTAAAGTTTGATAGGGGACATAGGGCCAAAAAGAATGTTTTTGAAATTTTGAAAGCTCGTATTAAACTCAAAATATACAACTGCATTCATATAGAAATTCAGTTAGGCATACTCTTTACACAAGTATTCAGTCCACCCAATTGAGAGAGTTTCGACAGAGATTATTAGGTTCATGAAATAGGATATTAGATACTCGTATTAAGCATTCATTACAAATTATGGTTCATCTGGTGTTCAGATCACAAACTGTTAACAAGCTCAACATGTATTATTCGGCAAGGCAGACACCTTCTGAAAGTGATCACGTAGTATTAATTTTTTCGGGGAAAATATAATGCTAAAAAACGAAGATGAAAACTTAAGGTCTAAACAGTCGTTGTCATATCAACTTACCAGGAAAAAAGCATGCAATCCACCAACAAAAAGGCAATTATAGTGCTTCACATTTCTGATAACTTCTTCAACATCCTCTCCTGGTTGAACAAGTTGAGACATATCCAAAACCAAGTTTGTAATTGGGAGACCACATAAGGGGCATTTGCACGGCTGAATCACTGATACATACATCCAGAACTGAAGGATGCAATTGGCTGGAATAGTGGAGGCCAATAAATGAGAGAGAGAAGAAACGAATAAATCGAGATTACAGATATGAGTACAGAATCCAAGAGAGGATTACTTTACAGACCCAAGCGTTAAGCAATAACAGTGCAAAATTAAAGATTAAAAATCCAAGAAAAGGATTATTAGCAAGTATTTGAACTAACACGAAGCAAACAAAATACAAGTACTTGTATCAGTTTCTTGGATATATTCTGAAACAAATACTACCAATTGTTTGTACTAACAAAATAATTAGAAAATACACAAATTCAAGATCCACCGGTTGATTGAATATGTATACGAAAATACTAGTCTACTCAAACTACAGGTAGACGACAATAACAGCCGCTACTCAATATAAAGGTAAATACCGGGTCTCATCAAACTATAGATAAACGACAATGTGGTCATCACCTGAACTGCAGTTAAACAACAATCGCGCATTAATATAACTGCAGATAAACGACAATCCCAGCCGCTGGTCAAACAACAGGTAAACGGCAATGCCATATGCTATTTTTCAAGCGACAGATAAACGACAATATCAGCAGTTGCCAAGCGACATATATCAACTAAGAAGCAATTATTCAAAACATCATTGAAAAGAATTAAAGGGAATAATCCAAAAATCAGCGGACAATTTGATGAATTTGATTTTCCAACAACTCAAGCAAGGAAACAGAAACCCACCAAGAAACCACCATTATCAGTTTGCTGAATAAATGAGAGTTAAAACTTCAAAAGTAGCAAAAACAACAAGTTTCCCGAAAATTATAGCATCCATTTTTAGTCACCAATAACGATTATAAATAGAAATATATACTAATTCGATGCAAAATAGTCACTTAACAGTGTTTAATCTTGAAATAAAATAAAAATTCAGAGAAAGAAAAGAGAAGTCTTGCCGCAGAACCAGTGTCTGCAATTGCTTCTACAAGGTATGGTGAAGAGATCAAGGCAGATCGGGCAGACGTCATCCGTTGGAGGTCCATCCCCATTATATCGATCAACAAAGTTATTTCCATTTTGTTCTTCAATTTCTTGGAAATTCCTCTCCATTTCTTCTTCAATTTCTTGCAAGGGTGCTTTCGTTTGGCGTTTGATCAGACTTATAGCCAAAACCCACCGCGCTTGCTGTCAAGCGTCAACACCATTGCAATTAAGCTGACACGTATTCCATGAGCCATTTTTGAAGTTACACATATATTTTTGCGGCTTCTAGAAAGGGGAGGGGACGGCACATCATCACTTTGTCTCATATTCTGATATTGTGGCTTTTAATTTTTGCCATTTTTTCTCCCGAAATTTTGGCTTAAAGCCGAAATCCAACTTGGAGCTCCATATTTTCATCAACATTGGAAAGAGTGGTTGATGAACCAGGAGAGGGGTATTAAGAATTGAGCTAGGGTTTATAGCTAACATTCGAAATTCAATTTGCAACACACACATATATCTGTTGAGAATGAATAGGTGAGAACGTGTACGTAATGTAGGTGAAATAATTATGTTTCAGAGAGGCACAAAAATGATGGAAATGATCGGAGCCAAGTTGGGGACAGAGGCCGCAAGGGGCTTACATGGCGGTCGCGGCGGCGAGGGGTCGGGTAGTGGCCCGGTCGGGCACCCCTTGATACAAATTCAAAATTTTAAAATCCAAAACAAATAATGTTAACTGCATCAATATTCAAAACAAACACTTGAAACAAAAAAAATCTAAAACAAACAATGTTCAAAACAATTTTTTTTCTTTACGTTGTGGGTTCGGGAAGGGGCATCGCTGCCCCGCCCCCATGACCCGAGACGGGGCAGCACACCCCGCCCCACCCCGCCACGCCACGCCACGCCACGCCACGCCAACCCGTTTAGGGTGGATTTTTTAGCCCCATTCGGGGTGGAACGGGGAAAACTATCATCTCTATTCTATTTTTAGTTCTGAACCAAAAATGTGGATAATAATTGATTTTTCATATAATTTTTTATTTATAATTTATAAATTGGACAAAAGAAATATGAAATCTAAAAACTCTAATTTGAATAGTAATTAATCTAAAACTCTAGACTTTAACCCTAAAAATCTAGATTGGCACCTACTTGTTTGTCTCACGCTCCACATCGAATTGTTATACTTCAGAAGTTAGTATATATTAATCTTTGCATTTTAGATTTTCTATCAATCAAAAAGTTCAAACTAAATTGTGATTTAAGTTGATGACTCAAAGCATTCATTCTTCAGGTTTACTTGTAAATTTATTTTATGAGAGAAATATGATTGAAAATTAATTTTGGAAAAATTAATTTTTGAAGAAATTGAGTCCAAATATGTTATTGGTTATCCTGCGTTCGTGGTTATCTTTTAAAATATAATTTTTCCTTTTCTATTCAAATAGGAGTTCAATATGTGGACTATAATTTCTTGATGCCGTATTATGTGTCAATTTTTTTCATGTCAATTAGTTTTAAAATTAGAAAAATTTAGACATTGTTCATAATTAAATTATTGGGTCAGCATACCTCACTTATGGATCAAATAAGATGTATTAACAAATAATAATTTCTCAAATTGTAATTTAAATTTTGATGTCTATACTATTTTGCGTCTTGAAGATTTATTAGTTGAATTTTCTCAATTGCACAAATATTGTCTAATAGTAGCATAATAGGGACATGTTTAAGCCCCATTTTTTGTGTATAATATATTTTGAAATAGTGGATGGATGGAGAATGTATGGTTAAAAATAAGAAAAAGTTTTGGATTTATTTATTAAAAATGCGTGGTTGAAAAGAAGAGAAAAAAATGGGTGTGTTTGAGCCACATTATTTTGGAAGAATGTATTTTAGAATAGTAGATTGATAGAGAATGTATGGTTGAAAAAGAAGGAAAAATTATTGATGTGATGAAAAATATTATTTTATTGAAAAATGTGTG